TTACAATATCATTACAACATCAAGCAGACAAGTGATGAGAATAAAGAAAAATATTGATTAGGGGATTATAAGTTGATCTGATCCTAAATTCTCCAAACTAACATCCCAAGAATTGTATGGCAGACAGTAAGGAGAATTACTAGTGAGATCTGGGGAGTTAAAGGTTAACGACCAATCAGAAGAAAGTACCCGTAAGAGCCAATAAAAAATCAAATCAAAAACAAGAAATATTACATAAATCACAGGCGATGAATTCGTTATTGGTTTTCGTTGGAAAATTTGATTGGTTGAGAAAGGGGTGCAAGTTTTCTGGATCAATCTCATGTCTGATTAAAGCAAAACCATGCATAGCACAAACGTATTACTATTGTGGGTAAACCTATCACTGTAGTGTAATATCTGTTATATAATTCATTATAATATATTCAAATGGCTTCCTAGCTTGAACGGAGGAAAATCGTTTAAAACTTTTCCCCTAGAAACGACCCAACTTAACGTGAGGTAATATTAAAACAAGGTTCAGATCTCTTAAACCTTCAAAACGTTTCAGTGGTTTAAACTATTACTAGCAGTAGCATGTGAGATTCGTAGTGACAAACTGCTTCATGAGCTTGATAAAAGTAGTCTTGCTCGGAACTTTTGACATGCTAATTAGATATATGCGTTGTGGTTAAATTTCTACGAAGAAAATTTATCAGAGTGTTGTTTCCTCTCCACCTCTAAATTCTACTAAAGACATCGGCGAGCTTTCCTCACCGGTTATAAAAGCCAGTTTGAGAGCATCATCGTAACATGGTGGTGGAGTTTCTGGAAACCTTTTTCTCCAAACTGCATCTTCCTCGGATAAATATATTCCATCAATATTCTGGACAGCAGTAAAATAATCTGGCAAGTCCATCGAAGAGGCCCTAAGAGACAGAAGACGGCGAGGAATATTGCTGTGAGGAAGAATAGGAGCAGGAGAAGTCGCCAAAACTTCCACAGGAATCGTCGAGATCGTAGCCTGAGAATCATTTGATAGTCTCTTGGGTCGTACCAACACTATCAATGCTAATCCAACAACCAGGAGTACTGAGGCAATGATTGCAAATCTAACAGTTGAGTTTTTATAGGACAGATCGAAAATGGCGAATACGAACAGAATAAGGCTTCCAGCGAAACAAATAAGAGTGAGAACTGTAACCACGAAAGAAACTTTTTTTCTGTTCCTTGATAACCTCGCGTTTTCTCGTCCCACAGAATCATTTGTACTTGTCATTTTCGAAGACTTGGAATGACAAAGTAAAACTGATGATATCTTCAAAGCGTAAATTCAGCAATCGTTGAATAAAAGGGAGATGCGCTTTATGAAAAGCCGTTGCTTCTGCAAATATAGGTTGATCCCTCGTCAACAGAAGTGTAACTACAGGCAGTAGTAGCAATGTACCTTAGGCGCTGGAAAATGCAAATCGCATGATACATCCTCCAGCATCCTGAATCATGTTATCAAAATAACTTATTGACGCAAATTATAACATCGTTTTTACTTCCAAGTGGCTTTCGGAAACTTCCACATAACAGTTGACTTATGTTGAAATGAGGATGTAACAGTAACTTTCCGATCAGTCCTTATACAAAGTAAAAGGAGATAGTCGTACAAATGAATGCATTTACAGTTTCGATAGAAAACCTGCGTCTATTTTTTTAAAAAATCGGTTCCCACAGGAAGTTAACTGCACGCAGATACGACTGTCAGTAGGAGGTCCAATATACCTTCCTCTAGGCCTCTGAAGTTATAAACGGCACAGACAGAAAATGTTGTACGTACAGCAAGCGCCAGGGGATATTTTACGTTTTATCGTTTTTATTTGCCATTACATGTAAAAATATTTCTACAACTTAGAACAATTTGTAAATAAATCAAACAAACAAAAATGGTTAATGGGGGGGAGGGGGGGAGGGGGGACTTGCTGAAAACCATACTAAAAGTACTACAAGAGAAGCAAATCTAAACAACAGATATAGCAAATAACGTGCTGACAAGCCATATAACAGTTCAGTTGTTGAGGAAAGATATTTTAAGATTTTTCCAAAAGGATGCTAGAGCCGGAAGAGCCAGTGATCTCAGAGGAAAGAGAGTTGAAAAACTCTCAACTTCTGGCCGCCTTGCACGTTTCGAAAACGTCTGCACTTAGGGTTCTTATTCGAATTAAATATTCGTTGCTGTGGAGATGACACTAAACAGCGTCCATTTTACTGTTTCTGTGGACGTAACCAGGAAGAGTCAATATATAAAACATGCTTTCGTGTGATAAATAGAAAATATTCTGAGGAGCTTCGATTCTTCGTTCTTGATATTCAACTTTTCCCGGAAGCCGTTAGAAGTTGAGGATAGCTTTTGTCTTCAGTTTTTCCAAAAAGGTAAAAGCACGACCAGAAAGTCACGTTTTGAACTGAAGAACAAAATGATTCAAAAGTGGCGTTCAACCGCTATTTACAAAACAATGAAAATCACAGCATAAATCATCCATGCATGGTAATTATCATTACTTGAAGTTGTTTTTACTAATTTTAATTTAATTGCCATATTTTCAAACACTCTACTTCAACAAATTTGCAGAAGCAAATTAATTAATAATAATGGTTCTATTCACATTAAGAACGCATGAAGTTTCGAACGGATCACGTTCTCAGTTTTCCACGCTGTTAGGTATATTACCGACCTCGTGAAGCCACGTCTGAGCTGCCAAAGATACGAGTCCGATTGAGATCCATGCTGGACGCCCTTGCTCTCCAGCACGAGCGAAGACGGCCTAATCTCGTGACATTCCTCTGAAGTTTTCCTTTTTCTTCTAATTCCTCTTTGCTCTCACGAAACGCCAACGCGGCACTCGAAAGGTCAGCTTTGAAACTCCTTACGTGATCAGTTTACATTATCATTTCAGTTGACAAAACCAAATTACTTTGTCTGTAATACCTCCCACCGATGCAGAAACCACAGTTTATGTAGAAACTTACCCTCTTTTTGTAAACATTGTATTTGTCTACGTTCACAAATATATTGTGTTGCCATAAATAATATTAAGATAAATTATTTCATTGTTTTGAATACTATCATTGTCCAAATTATTTTTATTGTCATTATCAATATCATTATGATCCTACACCATGTCATGTTGCTAAAAATGAACTCAAGAAGAATAGCAATAAATACGGTGATATTGGTGTTGCGTCGATTTTTCTTGCGATTTGGCGGTGTTTGCTTTATTATTTTTGCGATATCGTGATATTCAGAGCCCCTTAATGCCCCTTTCATATGTGCAACCTTGATGAGTGATCCTGATTTACCTAAAAACGTGATGTGCTCTTCATGAACACGTGGCCATTTGAACGTGAACTTGGCTCTTAAGAAAAACACGTGTTTTTGGACGATGACTGCCACCAGTCTCATTGTAATATTATTTTGCTCACGTAGGACCATTGAAGCAAGATAGACGTCGTTGGAATGGCCGGAATAATTGCTCTGATGGTGTCCTGACCAAAAGGTACAAAGCGGAGGTTTCCAAAAAGCCCATGACAATTCTGACGAGAACTTCCGTTAAGATAACAAGTACAGGCGACGCACAAGAGAGTCGCACTATACGAAGAAAGAGCGGCCGCAAAAACACCGTATTACTATGGCAGATGATGTTCAAGTAACAAACCAAACTCAGGAATCCATGAGAGTGTTAAGCACAGCGCGTAAGTGTTCCCTAGTCCTATTGATCTTCGCTCTCCTCTGTTTTGGAGCTGGTGTGTTTAACTTTGGAATTGTGATTGTACTAATGGCTCAGGCAAGTTGTAGTGACTGCAAGCAGAGTTCAGCGGGCAAAAGTGACCCAAACACATTAATACAGATTTTGTCGACTGTTGGTCTGTCATTGTTTGTTCTCGGTTTTGGCTTGCTGGGAGGATATTTTAGAAGATCAAAAAAGTGCTGCGCCCGTCAAGTTGCAGAGTCAGTCATTATTTCTACGATCCCAGCAGAAGATTTGGAAAAATCGCCTGCTCCTGATTTTCAACATAATGACATTTCTTCGAGTCATCTGTTTTTTAGTACAACCTCAGATTTGCCTGATTACTTTACTGCTGTTGCGAACGCTGACAATCTTTATTCAACTGTGGACGCCGGAGTCTGGACGGAAGATGTCCCCAATCTTCCACCACCGAGTTATGAAAGAGCTCTCGAAATGGCTGCTTTAGCTTTTACGACAAACGAGGCAGATACAAACAATTTTAAGGAAGAAGATAGTGTCAGTAGGATTACAATGGTGTAACAGCTGTAGGTTTTTTCGTTTTCCCGCGTGTTCATTTATGCTAAGACATTTTAACAATCCTTGTAAAATTGGCAAATTTAAGTAACATTTTGATCATTTATTTCGCTGTCCCTTTTCTCGTTCGTGCAATTTGCGTGTTGGATATTCCGCAAGTTAAGTGGTATACGAAAATAATTTAACCAAACTAAAAAATAAACGTGATCAGACTTCCGGTTGTACGCATGAAGGGTTTTTTTTGTAAGTAAAAATAAATTTATTAAGAAATTGTGTAAGGTTTGTTAGGGATTTGCATCAAGAGCATACGAAAGATAATGGACGAGGAAATATCAACACAGCTATAGGACGCATTTCTACTTATTTATTTATTTATTTTTTTTTTTGCAAGTTGGAGTTTGCAGATGCGCGTTCGTTAATTATAGTCGCAAGAAGTCGAAACTGTCAGATTATTCTCAAGAAGTCCCTCTATAGGCGTGACGTCAAGGTTTAATCGACAATTTATTGTAAGGATTTCTGGCCTGTGCCACCCTTAGGCGCTACTACTAACCAAAACGTGAAGACCACATGAATCTGTGCGACAAACATTTGAGTCAAGTGTTTAAATGCCTTCGAAAGGTATGTTGCAGTGTTTCTGTCAAAGTTCTAAAAATGTAGCTGCAAAGATATACTTTTAATGATTTCAGAAGACTTTAAGAAACGTTCCAGCCGAATCAGTAGAGTTTCAGACGACTTTTGAATTAATGAAGCTATAACGAGCGATGACGTTAGTATTTTTGGAAAGTTCTGTTTTTCAATTAGTTTCGCGTCCACAAGAGATCATAATGCTAGCTTTCATCCACTCTGTAAAACATTTTGAAAAGCTCTGTTTTGGGCAGAAATTTATTTAAATTTGTATGAATGAAAAGCCAAAGCACATTTCTGATAGCAAAGTGACATTTTCAACTTGATCCGTTGGACTGCTTAGGCCTTACGTCAGAGTATCTGAATTTATTCCTGCCTGATATAATGACGTCAAAAAAAATCCTAAACTTGGTCTTCAGTATTTTAACTCCCTCGTACAAGTTGCACCACAATATTGAGCTTTAGGCGAATTCTCTGATAAAAGCGTTGTTACCACGAGTTGCTCACGTATTAACCAACAAAGCGCGGTTCGCAAACACAATACCTTTTAGTGTAATTTCTAATTGAAATGGGAAAGAGAGAAGCAAGACTTCGTTGAGACGAGAGCATGGCCTTATTGAATTATGCACA